GCAGGAGAATCGCTTAAACTTGGGAGGTGGAGGTTGCAGTGAGCTGAGATCACGCCACTGCATTCCAGCCTGGGCGACAGAGTAAGACTCCATCTCAAAAAAAAAAAAATAAGAATAAAAACTGATAAATCCAGTGGTTTGTCATCAATTTCCTAGAGAAGTAATGAAAAAGGATAAATTTTATATATATATGTAAACTGGAAAGGAATCCTAGGTATGTACATCATTATGAAGATTTTCATCTTTTGAATTTTGTATTAAACGTATCATCTATTAAATGTAATTGAAAAAATAACACTCATCATTCAAAATTCAAAGTAAACATTTTTAAACAAATGGGGGAATTAAATAAAAGAGGCTACACACTTGTGGTACGTGAGGGAAACCAGTGTTTACCACTGCTCTCTCAGGATCTCATGAAAATGACCCCTTTCAGAAACACATTAAAAGAGCTCTATTCTTAATGGCAGCTGGCAATATTTACAACAATGGCATTTTCAGAGATGGGCATATTAAAACCCTCATCTTGAAAATTCCTTTTTTTTTTTTTTTTTTTTTAAGAGATGGAGTCTTGCTCTGTTGCCCAGGCTAGAGTGCAGAGGTGCAATCGTAGTTCACAGCAGCTCACGGGAACCTCCCGTTTCAGCCTCCTGAGTAGCTGAGACTACAGGTGTGCACCACTGTGCCCAGCTTATTTTATTTTTTTATTTTTTGTAGAGACAGGATCTTACTTAGTTGCTCAGACTGGTTTCGAGCTCCTGGTTTCAAGCTATCCTCCTGCCTCAGCTCCCCAAAGTGCTGGAAGTACAGGGGTAAGCCACTGTGCCTGGCCATAAATTCTTGATGAGCCAATAATTTTAAAACCTACATATACTTTAGTTCAGAGAACAGTATCCAAGAAACTGTAATTATTGCTAACTTTAATAAGTATACAAGTAGTTTAACGCAAATGAAGACTCAAAAGTCAACATTTTAGCCTGGCCAACACAGTGGGATCCCATCTCTACAAAAAATTTAAAAGTAGGCCAGACGCAGTGGCTCATCATGCCTGTAATCTTAGCACTTTGGGAGGCCGAAGTGGGCAGATCACTTAAAGTCAGGAGTTCCAGACCATGCTGGTCAACATGGTGAAACCCCGTCTCTACTAAAAATACAAAAATTAGCCAGGTGTGGTGGTGTGCACCTGTAGTCCCAGCTACTCGGGAGGTTGAGGCAGGAGAATCGCTTGAACCCAGGAGGTGGAGGCTGTGGTGAGCCAAGAACGCACCACTGCACACTCCAGCCTGGGCAATACAGCGAGACTCGGTCTCAGAAAAAAAAAAAAAAAAAAGCAAGGTCAAGAATAGAACATAGAGTATGACCCCAGTTACATATAATTGGGAGACTCTATGCATACACATAGAAAAGAAACAGAGAAGAGGAACCTAGAAAAACATCTACTAAAATGTTAACACAAAGTAATATTTCAATGTCAGAAGTGGCAGATTTAACCCACCCCTAGTTGCCTTCCATCCCAGCCATGCCATCACCTACTGATACAGTCTACCTGTTGAGGCTTCTTTGGATTTTCTAGTAAGAAAACTTGGCTAGAAAAATCCTTTGATGTTTCCCCCTTCTTTTCATTCTAGCACTGGGACATCATGCCAAAAATGGAGCAGCCACTATCACAGATATAACCTTCTGACTAGCTATGTACTTTAAAGACACGGTTCCTGCCCACCATACCTTATGGCAGCCCTTCCCAGGTCCCTTCAGCAGGCAGTGCTTGTGAGCTCAGTGTACCACAATACACCACTTCGTGTCAACACACAAAGGACCCAGGACCTTGATGACTCTGTAAGTCACTGCCCCAGCCCTGGAAAGACCATTTCAAGTTGAGACTCTTCCTGTTTGATCAAAAAAAAATTTTTTTTTTTTTTTTTTTTTGAGATGGAGTCTCACTCTATCGCTCGGACTGGAGTGCAGTGGTGCAATCTTGGCTCACTGCAACCTCTATCTCCTAAATTCAAATGATATTCCTGCCTCAGTCTTCCGAGCAGCTGGGATTACAGGTACGTGCCACCACACTTTTGAAACTGTTATTTAATTTTCATTTGCTATTTTGCAATTTAACATCTTTTGTAACATGTACTATCTTTTATGTTTGTTAGCATTTGGGTTCTTTTATCTAAACCTCAATTACTAGTCACAAACAGAGTGCAGCTGTTTTTTAATGGCTACCTCTTGGTAAGGAAAGACAGAAATGTACTTAGAATGGTTCTGTTGGCACTTGGGCCAAAAAGAAAATTTCACAGAGAGGATTAGGCTGCTTGTTATTTAAGTCTCTTAGATCCTGGTCTTTTAAACCTATAGGTCAAGTTGGTTTTTCTGGCTCACAAATTACACTGGTTTTGATCTTTGAGTTGATTTCTCTTTCATGTTCTTCATTTTTCTCTCATAAATTAACTTTTTACAAATTCACTACTGATTTCCTTCTGTTAGGAAGCTATGGCTAGTCTTTCTAGAGCATTTGGAAGGATTCTATTTCTTGGCCATTGACCCTCTCCTCACCTTCCTTCCTCTTCTCCTTAGGATCCTTTATCCTTGTATAAGGTCTGCCCACCTCAACAGCCACTGGGCTAGGGGAAGTCACCTCTCCCCTAAGTTCTCACATAGCCAAATCCATCAGCCTTTTCCATTGCTGGGTAGCCTAGCAACAAACAGCCCCTACTCTGGTTCCTTGGCTTTTCCCCAACCATCCATCACCATGGCTGACACAAGGCAAAGGATGTGCACAGGAACAGATGTGCCGTGTTCTCAGCAGCTGTGAACTGTGCATCTCTGGTCAGACTTCCCAAGAGAAAAAAGCAATCCTCTATTTGTTGAGCTATAGGATTCCTGTAACTTGCAGCCTATACCTTCCTAAAACACAAAATATTTCATTTTTCATTATTTTTCTGTACTGTTTGAACATTTGATATTAAGCACATTTTCTATAGTCAAAACCCAGCACGTTATTTTCATCTTGAAAATAAAAATTATACAATTGGCTTACATCCTAGAAGTCAATTGCACAAAGTTTGTACAACCCTGGCCTAAATGGTAATGTCCAAGTAGTACTATGTTCACATAAGATGTTCTCATTGGCCAGGCGCAGTGGTTCATGTCTGTAATCCCAGCACTTTCGGAGGCCGAGGCAGGTGGATCACATGAGGATAGGAGCTCGAGACAAGCCTGGCCAACATAGTGAAACCTTGTCTCTACAAAAAATACAAAATATTAGCTGGACGTGGTGGCTCACACCTGTGGTCCCAGCTGCTTGGGAGGCTGAGGCGGGCAGATCACTTGAGCTCAGGAGGCAGAGGTTGCAATGAGCCAAGATCACGCCACTGCACTCCAGCCTGGGCAACAGAGCAAGGCACTGTGTCAAGGGGGATTAAAAAAAAAAAAAGATTTCTTATAGAGATCAGCACAGCCAGACAGGTTGCAAGGCAGGTCACAATGCATTGAGGTCTGCATCACTAGCATCCCTCATCTGCCCTGCTGGAGCTGCTGACCTCTCTGAGGCTGCCTTTCACTGTCTCCCAATGTAGCCGTGTCTCCTACCTTTCTTCCTCTTCACCTGCTCCAAATACCCTGCTCTAGCCCTGAAAAGACCAAAGGTATACATCAAATTCTTTCTAAGAAGGCAATTACAAGAGAGTTCTCTCTCAGCACAGAAATCCTGCCATGCTTTATCCCTGTACCTGCTTCCTTAGCTCTGAAAACGGAAAGGGAAACATGGCCCCCAGGGTGTCAGGAGCTGCCCTGTGAAGGTGGCGCTTTCCTCACCTTTGTTAGCCTCTGAATATTCTTCTTATAAAGAGATGACAAGCATTGCTTCACCAGTCCCATGTTGTTATCACGAGTGAAAGTTTCACTGTGCTTATTCACCAGGTTTCGGAGTTCTGAGGGGTTGTTGGTTGAATACACTTGTGCTAACTCGTGGTATGCATTGCTAAGAGGCTAAAGATGCAAAGGAGGGAAAAAATCAGATTAGAACTTCAGAAGAGGCCAGGCGTGGTGGCTCACACCTGTAGTCTCAACACTTTGGGAGGCCGAGGCAGGCGGATCACCTGAGGTTCAGGAGTTCAAGACCAGCCTGACCAACCTGAAGAAACCCCATCTCTACTAAAAGTACAAAATTAGCCAGGCATGGTAGCACATGCCTGTAATCCCAGCTACTTGGGAGGCTGAGGCAGGAGAATCGATTGAATACGGGAGGTGGAGGTTGTAGTGAGCCGGGATCATGCCACTGCACTCCAGCCTGAGAGACAAAAGCAAAACTCCGCCTCAAAAAAAAAAATAAAAGAAAAAAATTTCCGAAGACTCAAATGTGTATAGGAAGCAAAAACACACTTACATATTATTTTTTAAACAAGTATATCCCATGTTGTCAGGTAACAACACACTGTTACCCTACAAATTATAATTTACCCAAAGCAAATGCCTGGTTTTTAAGACCAAGTGGAGTAATTTATTTTCAACAAAATTTTGTAGTACAGATCAAGTAGTAACACAATAGGTGAAAACCCACTGAATTTAGTGAAGGCACACATCTTTATCAGTGGTTCTGTTTTTCTACTGATAAATAATATAGAGAAGGAAGGAGTCAAAACATTCATCATTCCCAACTCTCCGTCTCTCTTTCTCACACCTCACCAGATGCAATGGGACAATCTGTTACTTCTGCTAGCAAGAAAGAAGACGGGGCCAGGTGCCATGGCTCATGCCTGTAATCCCAGCACTTTGGGAGGCTGAGGCGGGTGGATCACGAGGTCAGGAGATCAAGGCCATCCTGGCTAACACGGTGAAACCCTGTCTCCACTAAAAATACAAAAAATTAGCTGGGCATGGTGGCACACGCCTGTAGTTCCAGCTACTCAGGAGGCTGAGGCAGGAGAATCACTTGAATCCGAGAGGCAGAGGTTGCAGTGAGCCGAGATCACACCACTGCACTCCAGCCTGGGTGACAGAGCGAGACCCCATCTCAAAAAAAAAAAAAAGAAAGAAAACAAAATAAAGGCCAGGCTCAGTGGCACACACCTGAAATCCCAGCACTCTGGGAGGCAGAGGCAGAAGGACTGCTTGAGGCCAGGAGTTCAAGACCAACCTGGCCAACATAGCAAGACTCTGTCTCTGGGGGAAAAAAAAATCAACTGTTACAGGAGCTTAAACATCTATAGCTGTAAGTACCTAGAGCACAAGTTTGAAAACGGGTTCCTGAGAAATATTCCATCCCAATCAGGTAATGAGAATGTCTGCTAATCTGAAGCTGTTAGGAGAACTAAATCACTATAAAACCAAGTTACAGAACTGTATCATTGCAATTTCTTGATATACTCAACATGCTCACGTAAGAAATCAGTTTTATGTAAAAAAAAAAAAAAAAACTTACCTTAATGAATCTACCCACAATTTGAGATGTGTATTTTGGTAGCTGTTGTACTTTGCCAAGTAATATCAAAGACACTAAAATATACTTTTTATATGATTCTAACATGATATGACTGACCGCCATGGCAGGAGTAGTTATAGCCTAGGCAAAAGAAAAATGCTTACTGTAAAGAGAACATACCACAGTAGCAAACAGCAATCAACCACATGTATCACATTAATTATAAATCAGTAATACTTTTTAAACGTCCCATTATTTTTATAACAGCCTTGAGATATAATTCATTTTATTTTATTTTTATTTATTTTTTAGAGACAGGGTCTCGCTCTGTCATCTAGGTTGGAGCACAGTGATATAATTATGGCTCACTGCACCCTCAAACTCCTTGGGTTCAAGCGATCTTCCTGCTTCAGCTTCCTGAGTACCTGGGACTACAGGCATGGGCCACCATGCTTGACTAATTTTAAAATTTTTGGGCCGGGCGCGGTGGCTCAAGCCTGTAATCCCAGCACTTTGGGAGGCCGAGATGGGCGGATCACGAGGTCAGGAGATCAAGATCATCCTGGCTAACATGGTGAAACCCCGTCTCTACTAAAAAATATAAAAAACTAGCCAGGCAAGGTGGCGGGCACCTGTAGTCCCAGCTACTCGGGAGGCTGAGGCAGGAGAATGGCGTAAACCCAGGAGGCGGAGCTTGCAGTGAGCTGAGATCGGGCCACTGCACTCCAGCCTGGGCGACAGAGCGAGACTCCGTCTCAAAAAAAAATAAAATAAAATAAAAAATAAAATAAAATAAAATTTTTGGCTGGGCACGGTAGCTCATGCCTGTAATCCCAGCACTTTGGGAGGCCGAGGCAGGCAGATCACGAAGTCAGGAGATCGAGACCATCCTGTTTAACATGGTGAAACCCCATCTCTACTAAAAATATAAAAAATTAGCTAGGCATGGTGGTGGGCGACTGTAGTCCTAGCTACTCGGGAGGCTGAGGCAGGAGAATGGCATCAACCCGGGAGATGGAGCTTGCAGTGAGCCGAGATCGCACCACTGTACTGCAGCCTGGGTGACAAAGCGAGACCCCGTCTCAAAAAAAAAAAAAATTTTTGTAGAGATGGGGGTCTTACTATGCTGCTAGGCTGGTCTTGAACTCCTGAGTTCAAGCAGTCCTCCCACTTCAGCATCCCAAAGTGCTGGGATTACTGGCATGAGCCACCACGCCTGGCCACTTTCTTGTCTTTTTATTTTTGAGGTGGAGTCTTGCTCTGTCACCCAGGCTGGAGTGCAGTGGTGTGATCTTGGCTCACTGCAACCTCCATCTCCTGGTCCAAGAGATTATCCTGCCTCAGCATCTCGAGTAGCTGGGATTACAGGTGCCTGCTGCCACGCCCAGCTAATTTTTGCATTTTTAGTAGACATTTTCACCATGTTGGCCAGGTTGATCTTGAATTCCTGACCTCAGGAGATTTGCCTGCCTTGGCCTCCCAATGTGCTGGGATTACAGGTGTGAGCCACCATGCCCAGCCTCCTGTTCTTTTTTTTTTTTTTTTTTTTTTGAGACGGAGTTTTGCTCTTGTTGCCCAGGCTGGAGTGCAATGGTGTGATCTCGGCTCACTGCAACCTCCGCCTCCTGGGTTCAAGTAATTCTCCTGCCTCAGCCTCCTGAGGGATTACAGGCATGCACCATCATGCCCGGCTAATTTTGTATTTTTAGTAGAGATGGGGTTTCTCCACGTTGATCAGGCTGGTCTCCAACTCCCAACCTCAGGTGATCCGCCCGCCTTGGCCTCCCAAAGTGCTGGGATTACAGGCATGAGCCACCGCACCCTCCCCTTCTTACCTTTTTAACACACACATCATCTTGATATTTCAAGACCAGTTTGCTCATGAATTACTATATTTGGCTACAGCAATGATAATGCATCCAGTGGCTATGAAGTACATTTTTATAATTTTCTGAATGTGTAGTCTTAAAGAGAAGTCACCTTGAAGATTTGACCTGACTAGACACATGCTTTAATGACACCATTTCCGCCTACTGGCACCTTATGGTGGCCCTTCTCAGGTCCCCTCAACAGGGCACATCAACCACTCATTATGGTATGGTTCAGAGCCACGGATGTGTGTACGTGTGTGTGTGTATTATGTATTAGAATTCCAACTAAACTGAGCTCCCTGAAGGTTTTAAATATCCTTTATTAATACATGTTATGAACTAAAAAGGAAAGTATGAACATCTAGCTAATTTACCTTAAGACAACGGGTTTATTAATCAATATTGTGTATCTCTTTTTCAAAGTCTGAGTAAAGCTCCAGAATAGTCTACCAAATTGTGTACTATGTGTCATTACACAGACACAGAAAGGGTGGGAGGGACTATTACTGTGTACTCCTCTATACCCTTTAAATTATGAATCAAGAGAATGTTTCACTGAGTAAATAAAACTTAACAAAATACCACACATGGTTTTAGAATAAGACACATTCAAGGTCATTCAGTTCAATCTCTTCCTTATATGCAAAGGAAGCTATAAAGGTCAAGAGATGTCATAACTTATCCCAAATCAGATAAGATATAAGTGCAAGCCTAGATTAGAACCCACCCACAAGTGCTCTTCTATGCACTGGCACTGCTCCTCAACTTAGGGATCAGGTTACCACCATTTACCTGATGACAGAGAAGCAGTCTCTGAAAGGACCACCACCTGAAACGGAGGCCCCGGGATCAGTCCACTCTAGCCACAAACCTATGGGATCACTTTTTTGATCACATGAGTTCAGAACAACCTCAGCTAATTTTTAGAGAAATGATTACCTGTTCATAAAAGTAGAGAGCTCTTTCAAAGTTCTTCAGCCCAGTATAGATCATTCCTCCATAATAATAGTAACATAAAAAGTGCTTTGCATCATAGGCTCCATTCTCTTTACAGATATCCATCATATCCACGTCAAGATATGGAAGGGCAGGCTTAAAGCATTTTGCTAGCAAACAAAGCTGTGAACAAATTGATATTAAATCATCACTTTAATTTTACTTAGGCAGGTATTAGCAGAAGAAGAAAATTCATAGATTCCAGAAATTTCCAAATAATGTAATTGTGTTTTACATTTTATCAACTAAAATGATCTAAATGTCAACACATTTCATGTATCTGCTATCTGAAATGCTTAGGACCAGAAGTGTTTCAAATTTTGGAATATTTGCAGAATACATACCAGTTAAGCATCCCTAATCTGAAAACCTGAAATGCAATTGCTCCAATGAGCACTTTGAGTGCCAAGTTGGCACTCTAAAGATTTCAGATTTTGAAGCATTTTGGGTTTCAAATTTTCGGATTAGGACTAATCAACCTGTACTCCATTTTCTTAGCCATTCAGAATAAAATAGCATTACTTTTTTTTTTTTTTTTAATGAGACGGAGTCTCACTCTGTCACACAGGCTGGAGTGCAGTGGCATATCTCGGCTCACTGCAACCTCTGCCTCCCGGGTTCAAGTGATTCTCCTGCCTCAGCCTCCTGAGTAGCTGGGATTACAGGCGTGCACCACCACACCCAGCTAATTTTTGTATTTTTAGTAGAGACGAGGTTTCACCACATTGGCCAGGCTGGTCTCAAACTCCTGACCTCAAGTGATCCATCCACCTTTGCCTCCAAATGTGCTAGGATTACAGGCGTCAGCCACCTCACCTGGTGGAGCATTTCTTTATAAAAAGCTAAACAGCTATAAGGCCAAGCATGCTATAGACGATTGAGAATAGAGAATTCTACAGACAAGACTCAGTTATCCCTTAACCTATCCCTACCCATCTGATTAGAGGGCAGAAGAGTGTGTCCTCTTCCTCTTTACTGAACTAGTGGAATGGAAAGAGACCAGCATGGTGTGATAAAAGTAGAAGTGCTTCCTCTAATTAATCCTTTCCAGTGTTTTAATCCTTTAGGTAAATGTAGGGAATTGTGCAACTCAGCAAAGCAAGCCCTTAGAACAGTTATCTAGCTAATGGAGACGCAGTGTAAACATGCATACGAACTCACTGAGCTATACACTTTAGTATTTTACTGTCTGTATGTTGTACCTCAATCACAATTTTTTTAAAACATTAAAAAAAGACACATCTTCATATGAAACTAGAACATGTGTTTGAAATAATCCACACACCATGTTATTCTTGAAGGAAACAATGTAAATACCCCATGCAGACTTGTGAAACCATGGCATACTCATATTATAGACTACTCCGTACCTGTAGAGTACCACTATGGAATCATCTCCAAGATACGTTAAATACAAAAAGCAAGCCACAGAAGAGTCTGCATAGATTAAAATTTGTGTAAAAAATGAGAAAATATATATTCATATTTGCTTTTATGTCCATAAAAAGTCTTTGGAAGGATACACAAGAAATTACTAACATGGTTTCCTTTGTAGAGAAGAAATAGATGGCTAGCAAACAGAATGGAAAGGAGACTTCATTATATACCTGCCCTCCTCACAAAATAAGATAAATAAATGAGGCCAGGCATGGTGGTTCACGCCTGTAATCCCAGCACTTTGGGAGGCTGAGGCAGGCGGATCACTTGAGGTCCGGAGTTCAAGACCAGGCTGGCCAACATGGTAAAACCCCATCTCTACCAAAAATACAAAAATTAGCCAGGTGTAGTGGTACACGTCCATAATCCCAGCTACTTAGGAGGCTGAGGCAGGAGAATTGCTTGAACCTGGGAGGCGGAGGTTACAGTGAGCCTAGATCGTGCCACTGGGCTCCAGCCTGGGCAACAGAGCAAGACTCTATCTCCAAAAAAAAAAAAAAAAAGATAAATGAGTAACATTTTAAGGTGTAAGAAATTAGATATGTTCAGTCTCAGGTTCCACAATTTTTTTTTTTCTTGAGACAGAGTTTGATTCTTACGGCCCAGGTTGGAATACAATGGTGCAATCTC